AAAAAAAAAGCCAAATTTGAAAGCTCGAAGGATGAATATCCTTACAAAACTCCAATCTCCTAATTTTTTGGCTTTCAAATGATCTTTGAGACGAAATTTTCACGCAGTCGTACGTGAGACCCCGGCATACTTAGGAAGTGAATTCCAGTTTGTGCAGACCTTAGCAGGAAACATTCTCCTGGAATTTCAGCCTCCTAACTCTTTGGCTCCCGAGTTAATGATCTTCTCTGCCAAATATTCCATGGGGACGTTGAAAATTTGCGGAGTTATACGTAGGCAGGGTATGCCTTCCTAGCTTTTGCAGTTCACGAAGCAGTTTTCCCGCCAAAACCTTCACGAGAGTGCACGTGGTGCTCAGTTTTGTTGTGCGTGAAAGCCAAATTCATATTTACAACGGTCGTACGTTGATAGGGGACATCGCCCTAAAACTTCAGACTTCCAATTTTTGTGGTTCCCGAGATAATTTTCGCCGTGGAAACTTTCACGGAGCCAAAAGTGATACTTAGACGTACGGCAAAGCGCTGTATTTAAATTTGCGGAATTGTATGTAGGCAGGGCACAACACCGCAAAATTGTAGCTTTTTGGCTTCTATGGTTCTCGAAGTAATAATTTACTCGCAAAATTTTCAGGGGGACGCAGGTGATACCCGAGAGCGCGGGGATGCCGAATTTGAATTAGAAAGGTCATGCGTGGGCAGGGGATCATTACCTAAAATTTCAGCTTCCTAGATCCCATGGTTCTCGAGTTAATAATTTCCCTGCCAAAAATCTTTGGGGATCGTACGTGTTACCCACGGACAGAGGAAGGCTGAATTTAAATTTTCTGGGTCACAAGTGGACAAGGGACATGCCCACAAAATTTCAATCTTCTAGCTCCCGTGGTTCCCGTAATAATAACTTTACCCGCCAAAACTTTTATGGCCGTAAGTGAACCTGTGGATACGGGAAGGCTGAATTTAAATTTGCGGAGTCACACATGGGTAGGGAACATCACTCCAAATTTTCAGTTTCGTAGCTTTTGTGGTTCCCGAGTTGAAAGCTGCGGACAAGTTGCTGCGGACACACACAAACATACATATAAACAAGCACACACAGACAAGCCCGTGAAAATATGCGTTTTGTAGTGCTGTTAAATAGCACAAAATGCACAAAAATGGAGTTTGGGGAAATGTACAAAAAGAATGATCCTTACACTGTAGTTTAATTTAACACTTTGACTCATACTGGCTGTGTTTCGACCTCTTCCCCCATGCAAAAGGAATAAGCGTCGCCTAGAATGCGTTATAGAACCGCAGAGATATCCAGCGTACATGATTATCAGTTTTCTGCATGAAGCCCGGTCGTTTTCCCGATAAATACCCGCTCATTGAAAAAATACAAATTTAGTAAGTCGAAAGAGGATTATGAAATCTGCAAAACGCACTCGCTCTTGAGTTTACGATAAAATTAAGTATTTTTCATACCCACCTGCAGGGAATTTAATCTCCAAACTGAGTCACGACATACATGAAAGGAGAATATTCCAGCGAAGTTTCAGCATTGCACCTTATCAGGTAAGCGAAAGAGCCACTTCGCTACAAATATCTTTGAAGTATCTTAAGTCGTAACGGAAGTGAAAACCGGAATTCAGTTCAGATATACGATTTCCCTTATGGACGGTGAATATTCCGACAAAGTTTCAGCCACTGTTTTCCAGCTAGCCTCCAGTTAGCACAGTGCCAAGTGCGAACTTTGACGTGAACGTACGCATTGCATAAGCATACGCAGTGGCTGAATTTGAAATCTTTAGCTCAAGCAAGCACAAAGAATATCCCTGCAAAATTTCAGCGCTCTGTCTTGTCTGATTCCCAAAATCGTTTCCTCCCAAAGAAATCTGCATATTTTTTTTGGGTCCGCTACGCGAGATCTAGGCGCATATAAACGATGACTTTAAAACACATACGGTAGGAATATGCTCCCAAAATTTCATTTCCCAATTTTCCTGGTTGATGGGTTAAAAGCGGGTGACAAAGTTCACTCGCTTCCGAACACACATACGCAACACACATACGATCTCCCGACAATATGTGCTTTTGCTCACAATGGTAATGCTATAGCGCAAGCACAGAAAAACGTATAATAATAATTGGCCAACGCTCCGACTGCCGGTGCGAAGATGCGTTTTTTACATAGTTCTCTGCAGTTTTTGTCACTACCAGCACCGGTTTTTCCGGCAAATGCTTTTAGCTAAAAGAATTGAGACTGGCTGCCAGGACTGTAAGGAAGCGTCCGCTTAAAACTTCAGCTTCCTAGCTTCCCTGGTTCCCGAGTTAATAACTTATCCGCAAAAAACTTTCACGGGTTCGTACATAGGAACCACGCATACCCGGGGACTGGTTTGAAGCTCATTAAGACTTATGTGGACAGGGAACATCCCTGTAAAATTCCAACTTTTTATCTTTTCTGATTCCCGAGTTAGCGACTTATCCGTAGAAAACTTTCACTGGCCTGTACATGCATGTAGATTAATTACCCGAAGCTTCAGCCCTGTAGCTTTTGTAGGTCTCGAGATGAAAAGCTGGTCCAGACGCCCAGTGCACACACATACACACATATACACATACACACATAGACAACCTCTTGTCGATATGCGTTTCCTACATGGCATAGATGCAAAAAACGTATAAAAAGGAAATAAAATTTGGTTTAAAAAAAATAGGCACGGAATTTTAAGTACGCAAATTATTAAAAACTTACTGGAATTGCCCTCTGAGATGGTGGCCAGCAGTTCCATGATGTCCGCTCGGGAATATTCCTGCTCCGCTTCGCCAGTATTCAATTTCCATGGTTCTAATCGATCTATTTTTAACAGACGATAACGAGTTTTCGAAACATCCGAACCAACGATGTAAAACTTGCTGAGTGTCTCGAAAACGCTCAGATGACGTAATCGAGACATTGTCCGCGCAACCTGCATCCAAAACAAATCTATAAAGCAACTTAAGTTACCATAGGTGGATCCAGGGCGGTCCTTGGGGGAGTGGGCCGATTTGGGTTTTTCCTTCCCCACCCCCCACCCTTCCCTCCGCCCCCTGCCATTCGTCACTACTTCGGTAGTCCCACTCTTCGTCGGTACGTCGGTAATCCTACTACGTCAGTAGTCCCACTCTTTCCCCCTTTCCCCCTCTCGCCCGCTGCCTCCTCCCTCCCCCTCCCCACACCCGCTCATCGCTCTTAGCGGCAACAACCCAGGAAACGAGGGGACGGGGGAGGGGGGG